AACACCCTAAAATGGCCGGGACTTCATGAAAACCACGCATAATACTTCATACATATATATATATATATATATATATATACAGGGTGACTTCGAAGTTGAGTCATTTATTTTAACAGTGAGTAGATCTGATCAAAAGAAATGTTTTTTTCCTTTACCATTTTTCTGGTAAAATTAAAGTAACAAAGTTATAGCCCTTTGGAAGTTTGAGTACCGCCCTGTCTCAATAATGATATTATGTTCTCGTGTTTGGCAACAACAGATATAATCCGCCTTATCCGTTCATCGCATCGGAAACAAAAAAGCGAAAGAATTTGGAACGATCTTTTTACAATTATTTTCTTCAGTTGTATACAGTCAGTATCAGTCGGTAGTCGGTAACGCGTAAGTGAATAATCGTGTCTGTTGCGAGGCTCAAATCAAAAATGGCACATGTTTACGAAAATGCTGAACTTGTGGACATGGTTCTTATTTACGGGGAGTCTTTACAAAATGCTGCCGCGGCATCACGGATCTATGCGGATCGGTTTCCCAATCGAGTGCAACCAACCCCTCGTGCCTTTGTTAATGTAGTGCAAAGAGCTCGTGAATCAGGTGACTTAAGACCTCACAGAGGAGATCATGCCGGTGCTCCAAGACCACACGATCAAATAGAACTAGAAGAACAAATTTTAGAATTAGTAAGTGATGATCCAACAGTAAGCACCCGACAAATTTCAACTCAATTGGCGATTAGTCAGTATAAAACTTGGAAAACTCTACGTGAAAATCAGTTCTATCCGTTTCACATACAAAAAGTGCAGGCCTTACAACAGGAAGATCATGAACAAAGGGTTGACTTTTGCAATTGGCTTTTAAATAAACATCAAAATGATGACAATTTTTTAAATCAAATTTTAGTGAGTGATGAAGCCCTCTTTACTAGAAACGGAATTATTAATTCACGTAATTCTCTATTGAAAATCCCCATGAAATAAGGGAAACCAATTTTCAACAGCGATTTGAACCAATCAACCTGTGGGCTGGAATTGTTAATGGAATTTTAGTGGGGCCTTTTGAATTACCAAATCGCTTAACTGGTGAAAATTATTTTGATTTCTTGCAACACAATTTGCCTGGTTTACTGGAAGATGTGCCTTTAAATATTAGACAAAACATGTGGTTTTTACAAGATGGGGCACCACCCCATTATGCAAGAAATGTGCGTGAATTTTTAAATAGACAATTTAATAATTGTTGGATCGGCCGTGGCGGTTTTGTACCTTGGCCGCCAAGGTCTCCGGACTTAAATCCTTTAGACTTTTGTTTGTGGGGTTGGCTAAAAACTCTAGTGTATAAAACACCGGTTAATACACGCGAAGAATTACGTGCTCGAATTGAGGAAATGAGTACAGTGATCAGAAATCAACCAGTGATTTTATTGCGTGCTTGTAAAGAGACATGGCTAAGACGCGCCCAGCTGTGCGTCGAGCAAAACGGAAATCATTTCGAACAGTTTTTGTGACATGCTTTTGGGCGCACAGGTCCGCACTGAAATACTTGTCGGGAGGATACTTTATAAAACAAGGTAACATTTTTTTTTTAATTTTTTTTTATTTTTACACACATATTTTGGTTTATCTTCCTTCTACAATCATTATCTGAAAATTAATGACTCAACTTCAAAGTATATATATATTCAGACGTTCTACATTTTTTGTTTTGTTTTTTGCGTATCACTCACCACCACTGAACAGATCTTCGGAACCTAAACATATTTTTCAACCTGGATAGTAGCCTCATGTGAAAATTTCATGAAGATCCAAGTAGTACTTTCCAAGTTATCTACAAAGTGAGATGTTAGGATTTCGACAATACAGAAATTATAAACACGCATTTTTTCAAATTCTAAGCTCTTTGCGGCCACAGCATGCATGCCTATGTGAAATAAAATGCTCTACGTGTGTGACCGACCAGGATTCAAATAATAAAATGTTATTGAACTGCTATTCAGTTGGACAGATTTTTGAAAGGGAATTCAAGCTATTGTGAAGGTTACAATGCCCTGTGATATATCAATGAAATGGGCGATACGTGTAAACGTGCATGGAAAACAGACGTGGTTTTTCAAGATTTGAACGTTACGGTCTATTGGAAATGTACGAGGGAGACTAGTATTTAGACAGTCTCGAAATATTTTTTTTTACAAATAAAATTAAAGATGCCGACCTTAGACCTTAGTTAGTTCTGCAGTGATTTTGGTACAAGAATAAAAAGTTGGTAAGGAAGAAAGAACATGCTCCCAAACGGTATCAAACACTGATCAAGTAGTGTGTATTTTTAGGTAAACTATCGCTTCATCGTGACTAGACCCTCTTTCCCCGGGACCTTAAGTTCTATAAACTCCACTGCCAGGAGCTTCGGTCAATATCAAAACTCGACTGACAGGAGGTACACCGAGAACACCAAAGAATAATGCGTGATCAAAGTTCCAATATGCGTAGATATATTGAGGAAGAATACTAATTGTAATGAGCTGCTATTCAAGATACTTAGACGTATATAGTATATCTTAAACCAGTTGATACGATTGAATTTTTTTAGGAGCATAGGTCTTAGTAGATATCACTGGAATTGTAATTATTTATCACTCATGCATTTTATTGATGCATGTTTATATTAATTTGTTGGTATGTAGAATAACCTTAAAATTTTAAATAGGTCACATTATGGCTTACGGTTTAGAAAAATCTTGTTTAGTCAAAAGGATCATGGTTTTCGAGATATGCAGCAACCATTTTTTTTAGCAAAAATGTGTTGCCATTTCTGTAAATAATATTTTTTTAGCCTGGATGGTTTCAAAATATTCACAATTGATTGTTCAGCGAAATCAGTGTTGTTTTTTCTTATGTTGTAGCGGACTCTTCATGGAAACTACTCTAAAGCAAGTTGTAAGATTATCCTTCAATTTACATCGTCTCTGTATATACACGTGGACTAATTGTAAGGACTAGACGAAAATCGGTTTTTTAAACGCAGTGACACTCACCGAAAAAGTGATATGTACGTGTCTCTCTTCTTTTTGTTTAGCATAATTTTCACCTTTATTCTGAAAAAAGTTATTGCCGTAAATATAAAATAGTACTGTAATGTACATTCAAAACAGGTATTTACTACAATCCAATATAAAAAGAACATGTTGGTTTGAATTGCTGGGATTAACATCAAAGTTGTCGTATGTTTGAAGTCCACTTTGAGTTATGGTTGAGAATCTAACATTGAATTATACTCCAATCTTAAGTTAGATACGACTGTGTTGATGTTATTTTCCTGTAAACTTTACACTTTACCAGCCCGAAGCGGTGCAAATTACCGAATGTGAGCAAGTAGGCTTATCCGCGCTAAAGTCATTTGTTTTGCTTTTTTTCCATGATCAAATAACATGTAGCAATGGGGTTCATTTCGTAAAACAAGTGCAGCCCCTTGCATACAGAGACTTAGGTATAATTAAAGGACAATAAGTTATGGCAAGGGTGGAACCCTTCTCTAAGTGTAGTTGAATCAATACACATGCTAGTGAATCATCTAATTTGCCTGATATCTAGTTATTTCGATCGATAATGTGGTAGTTAAAGAAAATAATATGTCCTCTATATACTGAAAAAATCTGTTATTGATACTTCATAACTACTATATACTGCTGCCTCATCTCGATCGCTAATCCAGTTAATCCTGAAAATCTAGATGCATTTTGATTTCAATCATAGTTTCATAAGAACCTAGCTATAGTTAACATTGCACTGTGATATTGTTCATGTATTCAAAAAGGAACGTATTGATAATATATTGTATTTGAATGTCCGTAGAATTTTCAAACACAACTAATGGCGCCATTATCTGACTGCAGAATAAAATCACATATGCTTGACTTACTTTTTAATGCCGACGTTTTAGCCTCCACGGTGGCGTTTTTCGAGTACAATGACAGTGACATGCAATTGTCGTCATTAAAAAGTGTATCAAGCATATCGTTGGATTGATTTAACAGACAGACAATTGAATCTTATCAACATTGAAAACTTAGCATATGTTTTAGATGTTACATTATACTAATACTAATACTTTGATAAAGCACGGCTAAAAGGCGAATCAAGGTTGATAAAAATTTAAATTATTTTTCAATATAATTAAGGTCATGTAATTCAATACAATCTAACAAAAAATCCATCACTTGTTCAAACATTGACTTCTAGTCTTCCTTCCCTCTTTTTAAAGGACTCCAGATAAGAAAAATGTTGTTTATAGAAAAACATTCAAATTCATCATTTGGCACAAAACTAATTCAAACATACGTTACTCGTGCATACCTGTGTAAGGGGACGTATCTTTTTATTTTATTATAAAGATCTTTATTTGGAGGGTCTTCATTCAAGGCTACCCAATATATCTAATAAATAGATTCCAAAATTTCGTCATTGATTCAGGATTTTCTACAGAACGTATGTTTTCCTCAGGTGTGCCTCAAGGATCAGTTCTTGGATCACGTCTCTTTATGTTGTATATAGCAGATATAAACAGGGTTGTGAAAGTTTGTAGTATTCAGTTTTTTGCTGACGACTCACAATTATATCATGAATGCATGAATGAATCTTAATTATATCATAGTTTCAATCATACAATTTCGGAAGAACAAATAATAGAGGACCAAAATTATATTGAAAATTATGCAACAGAACATAGCCTACGCTTGAGTCCCTCTAAATCCAAAGTGGATTTTTCTCCTAAGAATCGAAGGCCCCTTATTAAAAATAATTTGAATATTACTTTAAACGGCCATCCTGTACAGATAGAAGAAGCAGTTAAAAGCACAGGTTTGTTTATAGATAAAAATCTCAAATTTATTTCTCATGTAAATAACATATCAAAGAATTGTTTTACTGTTTTACGGCATCTGTAGGGGAGACCGGGGGGAATGGGGACCATAACATTCAATTTCAAGTTTGGGTGGGTAAATGATGTTACAGAAATTTAAAAAGGTACATAATGATCTATTGAGGTATCATAAACATGAAAACACAAACAAATATGAAAATAAGGCTAACAGTTTTTTTATGTCATCAGCTTAAACAAAAAGTGTCTTTTACTCCATTCTGCCCCGTCGGCGGGGCACGATGGGGTACTCGGGTTTACAAATGTCACAAATCAGTTCTGACTCGTCGTCGTCACTATCTATTCCCGCACAAGAGTAATGAGCCCACTTTTTACACTGAATGCAAGAAATCCAACCTTCAGTTGATGTTGAATATTGGTCGTTACAGAATAAACATAATGTGTCTTCTCCTTCTTCCTCCTCGGAGCTTACTCTAGCTTCTATTATCTTTTGCTTTTTTGGTCGAGACATCTTTTCTGTTTCCCTCTTCTGCTTCTGACCTGAAAGATAACATGTTTTGGGCAGACCTAGCATCATACCATTACTCAAGAGATACTCAAAACTGGCTTCGACAACACAACATACCTTTTGTTCCAAAAAACGTTAATCCTCCAAACTTGCCGCAGGCTGGCCCAGTAGAGAATTTTTGGGCTTTACTGTCTAAGAAGGTTTATCATGGAGGCTGGGAAGCCCAAAATGAAGAACAATTAAGACGGTGCACTTACGAAAAACTGAGAGAAATTGATCTTAATTCTGTCCAGGACCTCATGAGAGACATTCGAAGAAGGTTGCGTCTAGTAGAGTAGTATGGGCCACTCCACATAATTCGATAGTATAACTTAGTTAAGTATCGAGTTGTAATTTATGATAACTAGTTAGTGTTTAAATAAATTTCTCCATTAAAAAAAACGATAAATATTTTGTGCCAAAACTTTTAGGACATACGTTAATGCGTAACCAACGACTGCTAATAATTTTAAAAGCAAATTAAACAAATTATCTTTGATGCACAAATCTGAATTAGCTCCCAGTATCGTATGTTTCCTCATATTTATGCATATTGTATAGATATTTTATGTTTTTTTTTGTACACACATATGTGTGCCCTGTATTTAATTTGTAATTTTCGTTTAAATTTTGGAAGAATCTTTTGTTAAAATTGTTTCCAATGTGCTAGATTTTTTCAAGTGTTTAGCGCTGGAATAGCTTGTAGCTAAAGTGGGCCTTAAATAAAAACTCATTTATTATTATTATTACTATATATCATCCGGTATACTTAGTTGCAGAGTTCTAGTTGATAGACGAAAGCTCAATCTTAATTTCCATAATAAATCATAATTCCTGTATAGCGACAGTACTTCTAGAACCTTCTATCCTTCCAAACTGTGTATAAATTGTGTTTACGTTCGTGACTAAATATACTTCACGTCGTAAACTGTAATGAGGAATTTCCCAGTACATACTTCACACGTTTCGTTTTTTATGAACGGTTAAAACCTCCTCGCTTCTGCCAACGTTGTCGTGCTTAAAAGCAAGTCGTAGTAAAATATGAAGGGGTACGGCGATACGATCATTTAGAACTATGTGTAAACACGAACCGTCATCTCTTCGTAGCAAATGTGCCGGAAATGGCTTCAAACTTTGATGCGCATCTTCCGAAATATATAGGTCTTTTTACGGTATTTGACGAAACTGAAAATTACTTGCATACATCCATCTTCCTCACACAGACATATGCAATCGGAGTTTTAAACTCGCATTCGTTTCTTAGTTTTGTCTCACCGAACAGTGATCTATCTATGCGAAAACCTGGCAAGAATTGAAAAAACATGGTATCGAAAATGAATGAAATTATTACCTATTTCAAATTTAATATCTTAAACAATAAGTTGGGCATGCAATCAGGACGTATATCATTCGACACTACTTTTTAACGCCAAAATTGGAGAGTTTCTGTGTAATCCGTTGTGTTGTGTGTTGTAAATGTTTGTGCATCTGAATATGGACCATATACAAACTTTATTTGATAACAGAAATAGCTAACAGAGACAAACATATCTGATTTGGACTCAACGACCGCGAACATTTGTCCTTGAATGATCTTGAAATCACCTTCAGATGCCTTTATAGTTGACCCATGATCCGGACTTAGTGAACCGAAAAACCTAAATGACATGCGGTTGGGATCAACTTCTCGGCTTATTTTGAAAATGTCTTTGATATGACCTTGATGTGACCTTCAAATGCCCTCCTAGAGACAAACTAACCCCAGATTTGAAATCAGCGACTCAAAAAACCCGCGCTGAAGATGATATAAATGCCGTAGAAATTATTTTTTGTCAGTTTTTCGGTGTTGTATACCTCTGCACCGGCTTGAAAATTTTTCCGACAACAGATGAGTCCTCCACGTGTATGCTTGTCAACGACAATATGACTTGCTTGTCATGTGCGTGCGAGTTGTGTTCACATTTGTTGATATTCGATATGTATGCTTAGGGATACAACTACAATGTCGATAGCTGGTATTAGAATTATTTTCAGAAAGTGAAAACAACGGTCCTGTCACCCAAATCACGGGTACGTGTAAGAGCGAGTAGCAGCTGCGTTACGGATCGGTTTGTGAAGTTTACAATTTCCTTTAGGAAAGCTAAGCTATGCACATTCGAGTAGTACCATTACTCAATCTAAATACTTTGCCATCTGTGGTAACAACATCTTCTACACTTGTTGAGGTGCTTGTAGCAGTGAGTATAACATTATTGAATGGAAATTAGTAGGTGTCATCAACAGGCATCCAAATTGTTCCTGAATTTAGTTAACCGTAAACACTGTTGCTAGGCACTCTGATATCGTCCATTCAATGAATTTGTTTTTAGCAAGTATGCGCAAATATGCGAAACCGACACCGAGTAATGCGAAGCCTGTAAGGCCGTATGTTCAGCTGATGGTTGTTGAATGAGTACCTCGGTAATGTGAAATATATGGATAAGCGTGGAATTGTTCCGTTTTGATCCCGCATGTAACTGTATTGTACATAAATGGGTGAGATAGTAAGTTTTTCTTTACTCCTTTTACCTACATGTAAAACTGGTACTTAAAATCGTAATCAGTTACGATTTACGAGGACTGTCAAAGTTTTTCCACGAATAAAAATGTAAAACCAAGTCTGTTCTCGGCATTTGGCGGGTCATACTACAGGAATGTCTTCCATACATTCATCTCCCTCACACATGCATATGCAATCGGCCTCCATGCGCGAACGTTTGTGTGGGTTCATAGACATATGTTTTTTAGTTTTGTCTCATCGCCTTGAACATTTTTTTGTCAACGTCGCTTACCTTTTGATGATCTTAGTGTAGTGAGTGAAAACAATGGTGCTAAATCACCCAATTCTTGTGTGTGTGTAAGGGCGAGTGGCAGCTGTATTAAGGACGGGCATTGTGCAGTTTCCCTTAGGGTAGCTAAGCTCCACATATATGGTACAGTTAGTCAGTCTGCTTACTTATTCTATATGATGTGACGTAACCGCCAAAAAAACTGAAAGTACCTATCTTTCCGCGGTTTTTGTTAGGTCACAGTAGAATTAGCGGTACTACTTTCAAACTCCATCTTCCTCACTCACTCATAGTTGTAAACTCACAGAAATGCGTTTTTAGTTCTGTATCGCCACCTCAACTTTTACTTGCCAGTAAATGAGTATTCCTTATCTATGCTTGTCCCTGTTAGTGTGACAACCCACTTGTCATGGGTCTGAAATTTGAGTTTATCTTTTATGAATCTTTATAATATATAAAACATAGCAAAGCCTGGAAGTAAATTCGTGGACAATATTTATGTTTTATGTATTTTTAGAAAGTAAATAATAGTAAGGGATCCTCATCACCCTGTAGCAGTTTGCGCAGTGTGCAATTTTTCCTAAGAAAGCTGAGCTCCGCACATGGTACTGTTGGTCGTTCTGTTTACTTATTTCGTAAGACGTTGATGACAAAACCGCCAAATCCCGTGAAAAGGCTCATAGCAATGTATGAAGTCTAGAGATACAACTATATACTCGTATAATCTATGCATAAGGTCAAATTAAACAACAGTCTTCCATCGCCCAGTTCATGTGCGTGTATAGGAGCGAGTAGCAGATGTGTTATAAATGGGCTTGCAGATGATTTACCTGTCGTTAAATATACAGCTTATGCGGATGACATGTATTTGCTTATTTCATCGAAAGAGGATGCTGACCTCCAAGAAAAATGCATAGAGTCCTTGACGAAGCTGATTAACTTTTTGAAGTTATCAGTTATCAGCAAAACTTAAATGAAGGGAAGGTAAACTATCCATCATAATAACCTATGCACATGGTACAACTCGTCATTATTCAAATTCAAATTGAAATTATTTATTTACCTGTTGATGTTGATGAAATTAAAAATGTCTATAGGAGAGAAACTCTTAAAGACTATAAAAACACCGATCGATCATGAACCTTCTCAAATTTCGTTTGAAGGACCTTACGTTCGTCTCTGACTTAACCTTATCTGGTAGATTGTTGAACATTTTCAATCCTAAGTAGTTTGGTGAGACTTGATTGCATTCGTAGTTGAAAAAGGGTAAAAGTAATTCACTTTTTATTCTGGTATTGTGCGTGTGAAGATCATTGTTTACAAGAAAATGTGCCTATTCAAAAATACATATGTGGTTATTTGTAGTATAAACAAAGAAGCCAATGCCAGTTCTCCAAAATTTTTAAACAGCCTTTCTACTCGAGTGGTGGTTATACATTTACTAGACTTTTTATGATCTTTTTGAGATACAAACACTTCATTTGCGTGGGACGAGCTTCCCCACAAGCAAATGTCATAACAAAGTTTAGATAATAGGACAATCAGGACACCTTGAAACATTTCTTGGATTTCTAAAAACATACTCGTATACATAAAAGGATAATGCACACAGCTGCTCACAGTGGCTTGTTCAACTGAAACATTCACGATAAAGACTTTTTGGTATGTTTTTAGCTATCTAATACTGAGAATTCTAATATTGAGATTTATACTAAATTTATCTAAATTGTGCTGGTAATTGTGGAATCTTCAAAAAGTTAATCAGTTTCGACAAGGACTCTATGCATTTTTCTTGGAGGACACCATCCTATTTCGATGAAATAAGCAAAGATATCTCATTCGCAAAAGCTGTATATTTAATGGCAGGCAAAGCATCAGCGATCTGATTGACATATAAGCGGAAGAGAATTGGTCCCAGTATTGTACCCTGTGACACACCTTTCTAAATTGGCATAATTTCAGAGTTGATATTGGAATAATTGCTGTCGGATTTAAGATTGATAGATACAAATTGCGTCCGATTTTCAAAGATAGAAGCTATCCATTTTTGAGCAACTCCTAATGTGTTGAGTAATATCTGATAATTAACGAGGTCAAATGCCCAGTCAAATCACGAAAAATAACTGCGGGACATTCGCCTACGTCAAGATACTCATACTATATAAAAGGCAATCATTGCTGAATTTGTTGATCTTCCTTGCTGGGAACCATGTTGTCTATTGGTAATTACCTTGAAGTTGCTAAAAAAATTCAACTATCTAAAAATGACTATTCTAATGCCGCACAACATCTTTTCGGCATAGTTAGTGCTGTGTAATACTTCATCAACGTTGTATTACTGAATCTGTTACTGGATGTGTTTGCATATTTCGTAACCAACAACCGTGAAAAGACTTATAGATATGTTCCAATAAAAATTGTAAAGAGATATTAACGAGCCTTTCTTACTAAGGTAACGTCGCTTAAAAGATGTGTTTACCCTCAGTATGTTGCAAAAACACGCTGCCTATTCATCTATTCAATGAATTATTTATTATTTAAAAAGATCAAAGTAATCCTTCTGGAAGGTCAAAAGTGTGGTTTTCCTCTCGTGCTCAAAATCGTGCGAATGAGATTGTTGTCACTTGTCATTCTCTAGGTTCATTCTTTTTCTACCTTTTTTTTATCAAAAAGTGCGTAAAATTGCCATAATCACAAATGTGCTACCTAACGTGGTTTGAAATTAGTATTCTAGAGTAAAATTCTGTCAATCCGCATTCCATTACATTACCAAGTGATTTACCAACGCACCCCTGCACTGGAAAAATCTAGAGTTGAAACTATATCGACCACAATAAACGTGAACGTCACTGGAAAGCTTTTAAAACAATTCATTTTTCATACGTCCTCCTCGGGAAACTTATATTCGATGTTAGTCCAACATAGTTCAGAACTAACTACTAACTCCGCTTACTGGAAATGCAACCTACGCTTTGCGGTGTCGTAAAAATATCAGTGTTCAGCGAGCAGTAGCGGACCCACAGGGGTAAGGTATCTGCAGGTAAGGCCTAGCTAAAGAAAAATATTCAGAAAATGAACAACACATCTAGTTAGTTTTGAACTTTTATTGGTAATATGTCCAGCAATGCTAAACAACTGATTTATGAACTTTAAAGTAACATATTTTCTACTACTTATAAAATAAAACAAAAAATTCAAAAACAGTGCAACTAGGCCTTATTAAACGATGGTAAGGTAATAAGGCCTATCACTAAAACAACATAAAAAATGTCTATTAAAGTAGAAATATTTGGTATTTGAGATCAAACTTAAACACATTATCACTGATAACAAAAATAGATGCCTACGGGGTGAGATAAAATTTTAACTACAATCGGGACACTCAAAAGTATCACGGTCTTCTTGTGTCAACCCAACACACTCTTCATGATACCATTTCCCACATTCTGTGCACTGCCGCATATCAGCTATTTTATCTTCCATACACGCATGACAATACCAACTTGCCTTCACCTGCTTCGAATCAGCGCTTTTTCCAGTATTAATCGTTTCACTGCTTCCTTTACTTTCCTTAAAGAGATCTTTAGTAACCAAAGTTCCCCTGTAATTTATTGCTTTTTTTTAATTGGGTGTGCCTTTTCAGTTTGATTTATTGGAGTTGGCAAGAGTTCATGGAAAGAAGTGTCTAAAGTAGTTTCATCCACTTCATCAGCTTTGCCTTCAGAAGAATCCGACGAAGAGACCAGTGAATAAAAATGTTTCTTCCCATCTCCAATATTTTTCGAGGAAGATGAACGGGCTTCGTTAGAAAACTTGCTGGGCGTCCTTTCAGCTGCTTGTCTAGATGTTGACGGTTGGTGATATTTGGCTGCCTCATTTAACTTGTTCTTAAGTTTTGCAAGAGGCACCTCATCCTCATCAGACCATTTAGCTTCTTTTTGGATATGACGACCTTCAGTTGTTCGTGGCATTTTTCTTGAACTTGATGCTTTGGAAGAGGGATTAAGCACATTCTCATTGGCTACAGCCTCGACTGCTGGTTGAGCTACAGCTGACAATATAGATGGTGCAAACGCTGTTTCTGGAATCGCCTGGGAATTAAGAGGAAATAAACCAGTAGCCCTAAAGCCATTGGTTATATTGCTGTGAGTCATGCATTTGGACCAAACGTTAGAAAAAATAACATTAAATCGTGCCTTTGTTAACTTTTTGTCTGGATTTTGGTCCAAAAATGATAAGAGTTCTGCATCCCAATGATGTTCGAACGAGCGGTATACAGACTTATCGAGGGGTTGTAATTCATGAGTTGTATTGGACGGAAAACAATACAAATCGTTATCTAAAGAATCTCCCAGGTCGACAATTGACAAGTCCAAATGGCAAGCTGCGCCAACAAAGATCAAAAGGCATCTTCCGGGGCGTTTGTATTTGGCTAGATGGTTTAGGAAATTTTTAAATAATCCATTAGTCATGTAACCTTTGGCTGATTTAGCTACAAGAGTCCCTGCTGGTAGATTATCATTTAATTCTAGCTGTAACCTTTTACCCTTGAAAATAACCATTGGAGGTATACGACAACCCAATGCGTTCACACACCCAGCAATAGTGACACTCTCAGCATGTTCCGATGATTGTAAATGGACTCTTTTAGTCCCTTTTTGTGCCAGTACAGTTTGTTGGTGGTGCACCGTCAGCCTGCAACCCTTTTCGTCCATATTGTATATTTGCTCGGGGTGGTTTTTTAGGTACAGCTGATCGTAAAGTTTACTGATCTTAGCAAAATGGTCATCCACTATCAATTTATTTAACTTTTGTGCCCTCGCGGGATTCATAAATTGCGCTTTTCGCTTGGAAATAATCGGGGTTCTCTTCATGAAAGTTGATAGCCAATCTTTGCTTGCCAGTTTTAGGTTAATATTAAAATTGTGCTTAATGTTGTTCATTTCGCAAAATTTGTAAAGCAGACGACGAAGGATTCGTGGTGTTATCGGAAAACCTATTTCAGCGAATCTAATTAGTCTGCTTACCAGCTCAGATTCTTGGTCTTTGGACAGTATGACTTTGCGACCGAGGATTTTCTTTACATTGCCACTCCTAAGATGATTTCTAATCGTTCTTCGAGGGATATTATATCTTTCTGATGCCGCATATGTGCTCAAAATATTTCTCTCTACTGCGCAAACTGCTGCCACTAGCTGTTCTTCTGACCAAAGTGCCCTTTTTCTTTTAGGAGGCATCGTAAAGGTCTCTGAAAAGAATGTTGATTTGTGACAAATACACATTTTTCAGAATAGCTATAAACTCTAATAATGAACGGAATGTGATAAAAGATGCATATCTTTTCATTACTACACTTATTATGATATATACAAAGGGAGGGTAATAAGGCCTATAGTGGAATTTTATAGGCCTTATTATCCGCCACGCACCAAATTTTACAAAAAAATATAAAAAGTATTTTGCCCCAAATATCTGAGTCAGACCAGAAGTGATCACAAGATGCATGAAACAAGGAAACTCTCAGTGCTAAAAAAACGAATTTAACAAAATGTACCAAAAGAAACTTACGATTTTTTCCTATGCTTCTTTACTGTTGTTACAAGGCACACTCACTCGACGAGATATGTTATTGCACTGACGACGTCCAATTAATTTGGCGTGGTCGGTGTTCAATCCAAGGTCATCTAAAGAGCAATTGTTAACCAGTAGTGTGCCTGTAAAACAACTTGAAAGCATTATTTTTGTTATTAGGCCTTATTACCCGCCAGGCCTTATTACCCGCAGGTACCTTACATCATCAGGTCGAAGACTGCGAGGATTGAAAAAATAATTATCTCCTATATGATTTGCCGTTAGCAAAATTCAATAAATCATAAAATAGAAAGTAGTATGCAAGAAAAGTTCTTAGTACTGAAGCAATAACAAAAAATGGCTTCAAGAGGTTCATTTTCCGCGCAAAGCGCAAAGCTGTCAATTTTTGAAAGAAAATACTGCAATTTAATCTAGTGTAGATAAATTTAATCGCGGCGTGCCATGTAATGAAAATGTATCAGGCTCATTTTGTGAGGAATACATTTTTCTTTGAAGCAGTGGAAAATAGTAAATTTAGGTGACGACGCAGGAAAGAGGATCTCAGTCCAAAGGTTGATAACTGCTTGACTTTATTTTGCCCATATACATCGTTTGACGCTTTAATCCAGATTGGGGAATCCGGTACGGGTATCAGTATCTTGAAAAGTGACATTATGCCGATCTTTTTTGACATTATACTGTCTTTTTTTGAAATTATGTAGGTTATTCTACAAGATATTAACTTAGCACTTAGTTGTGCGTGTTGCCTAAAGGTCACGAGGCTTGTCATCAATCTTTGGCTCTGATGTGATGTAAAATCTGCTTGTGAGATGGCAGATGGTATTACTGGAGGTCTAAGCTGTAAGTTGTATGTGTTGATGATAATTCCATTGGATTCTTGTCTCAAATACACTTAATCGAGATTCAAAGCTAGAAATTAATTGCGCAGCCACTTTTTGTTATACATTCTGGAAATTACATACACAAAGTTGCTGAATTTCAAAAATAAGAGATCAGAAGTAATTATATTCACTGTACACTGTCGAAGTGGCCATATACAAGCTAACAGTAATTACACACAACCCGGGCGCGGCGATGATTTCCCGTAATTCTCCTCAGTTTTTCGTAATTTATAGCTTTGAACATAACCTCTCTTCAGAAAGCACAACATATAAATAACCCGTCATATTCAACTTATTCAGTAATGATTTTCTCACACAGCAAATATCACTGATTTTATACACATGCAGACCAATACACATAATCACCCTGATGCGATCTTGCTATTCAACCAACTTTCTCCTCAGAGATTAAAACTACAGGCACGGATCAGTCAGCGTCACAAAACTATGCAACCAATAATGCATGTAGTTTATTTAGTTGAGTGATTCCTTCATAGATGGACGTTCACAACGATCCTAGTGAGCAAACGTGAAACGACTGTCTGCGCCCTAAAAACTACCTAGTCTGCAAGTTGACATCTTATACGTATAGGTTTTTTTGACGTTTTGTAGGTTTCTTACATCTTACATGATATCCGCGCGGATCAGGAACGGCAGATTCGAATATGATGGACCACTTACCTAATCGTTGAACAAAACGTGGCAATATTGCACATTTGTAGATTCTGTCAAAAATTTTGAAAATTGACAGTTTGTATTCAAGAGGTTATCAAAATGGAAAAGAATCAGAAGAAACGAGAACCGAATTTTACTGCGAATGAAAAGCTGCATTTATTAAATGTAATAGTGCGCGACTATGCGGACAAGAAGACCGACGGAGCCTCTATGATGTCCAAAAGCAATGCTTGGAACCAAATTGAAAAATAATTAAACTCCTATTCTCCCTTCTCTCATTGATAATGTTGTATGAAAATAAGAAAAAATTAAGAAGGGATATAGGTGAGGAGAAAACCAAAGGTTTTTAACTGGAGTTGAAGCGATGCCTGTTATGAAGTGGGGGCCCAAAGGTCGCTCTACAAATGACTTTCTCCAGACTCCACAGAGGTCTAAGAGAAGACCGAAGCAAGTTGTGACTGCTTTAACATCTTCTGATATTGCCTCTAAATACAATCTACTCTTAGAGAAAAGACTGACTTTATTGGAAAAACAAAATGCAAGCTACCTATGAGGAGCAAGAATTTATAAAAATGAAAAGAAAACTTAAAATAGATTTGCTTCAGCTAAAAATGTCCAATCAAAATCTAAATTGAAATAAGATACGTTTATGTTACTTTTTTCAATGCAAAATACTATAGCAAACTTTCTTTATTAATACAATATTACAAAAAGTATGTAGTTTTTTTACAAATTGTGTGTTTATTATCCAGATGTTTTAAAAATTACTGAAATAGTTATCTATCAGATTTTGGCGAAAATTAAATGGGCCTTGAACAACATTCGTCGCATGTACATGAGGAATGTCTCCTTGTAAAATTAGGTAATCCAGCTCTTAACCATTGAGTTGTTCTGGACGGGGAGGCAAATCCTCTAGCATATTCACGCCAATATTTTGAAGCACAGAAGTGGCAACAATTGCAATTAAAGCATTATCTAACCTACACAAACTACCATAGGCTAATACTGGGAAACCGACGTTTCCAAACACCAATTAATCTTTCTACTACATTGTGCGTTCGAATATGAGCCTCATTATAAAGATTTTCGGCAACATTGCCTGGATTTTGTAGTGGTGTCATTAGGTAGTCTTTCAGCTGATAACTACTATCTCCCAAGAGCACAGCGTTCTGAAATTGTCTCGCTTCAAAGCGTGCTGGGATTGAAAATAGTTGAATCATGGGTAGATCCTGGCCATCGAACAACAATATCAAATATTTTTAAATCTGGCCCAGCAACTATTTGAGTATTTATAGAAAAATATTACTTTCTACTACTATAAACTTCTCCATCTTGAGCTCCTGGCGATTGTATCTTTATGTGTGTCCCGTCAATGCATCCATGACTCGTGGAAATCTACAGATCCTATAGAAGCCATTCTAAACTCTTTTCAGGCAGCAGCGGTGGCCGCAGTAGTAGACTCTTCGGTCTCCTGATCAGTCGCCGTGCGCTGTGCGGGTTCGAGTCCCGCCCCAAGAGAAATGTTTCCCTTGGCTATGGATATTGTGATTGTCCGTAGGTGGTAGATGGTCTCTGACTGTCGAACGCGGAGGTACCACCCGGCGGTTCTCGTAGGCGGAGCCAGAATGTGTGCATGCTGCATGCACACGTGTTCCCTCGCCAGAGTCCGTGTGGCGTCCCCCCCTTTCCCATGTATCCCTCTATAGCCCCACGGTACCCAATGGGTGCTTAGGCCTTAGGCCTTCGTGGTAGTTGGAGTATAAAAAAAAATTTTACCAGCTTCATTGGACATTCTGATTTATTGTTTTGATAAACCTGCTATTGCTCATGAAACCATTGCAGTTATTCGGAATGCTGTTGTCTGATGCTTATTAATATCGTAGGAATGAAAAACAAAAATTTTCTAGTGATGACTGAAATCTTGGAAATACCTAATGTGATTCAGATCCACAGCCAGAGGAAAACGTGTTTAAAGACGTTACTGTCTAAGCTTCAACTCTGACCAA